GAGCCCCAGAAGAAGAGAAAAAGGAGCACAGAAAATAATCAATAAACAATGGCTGAAAACATCTCAAATTTGGTTTAAAAAACATGCATATAAATATCCAAGAAGCTCAGTGAATTCTAAATAAGATGAATCTAAAGAGACCCACACCAAGACACTTTAAATCAGATTTTAAAGGCCAAACCAAATCTTGAAAGCAGCATGAGTGAAGTGAATTGCCAAATATAAGTAATTCTTAGTAAGATTATCAGTAGATTTCTCATCAGAAACTTTGAAGGCCAGAAGGCAGTGAGCCAATATATGCAAAGTGCTAAAATGAAAAACAAAACTGTCAACAAAGAATCCTATATCCATCAAAACTTTTTCTTCAAAAGCAAGGGAGAAATTAAGACATTCTCAAATAAAGAAAAGCTGAGAGATTTTGTGACGACTAGACTTGCTCTGCAAAAAAATGCTTAAGGGAGTCCTGCATGTTGCAATGAAAGTATACTACATAGTAATTCAAAGTTGTATGAAAAAATAAGTATCTCAATAAATATTAACTATATGAGCCAATATACAAGCTGGCATTATTGTAACAATAGGTTTTAACTCCTTTTAAGACAATAGGTTTTAACTTTTTTTCTGCATGATTTAACAGACTAATACCTCTTTTAAAAACAATTATTAGTCTAAAAGCTAGTGTTATTATTACTTTGGTTTGTAACTCCAATTTTTGTTTCCACATAATTTAAGAGAATAATATATTTAAAAGAATTATCAGTTTATGTTTTGGGGACACACAGTGTATCAAGATGTAATTTTGTGACATCAACCATTGATATAAAAAGTAAAATAGAGGTTCCTCTTCAAAGACTTTCCTCCCCATCTACTTAGGAATAAACAGTAACTTCTCCTAAAAGCAAAATTTATTCAAAGACCTGTGCTAACATTCTTAAATATCTGCTGGCTGTAATAAAGAAATCAATGTGCTTTATGTTCTTAGCTCCCACAATTTAGCCTAAATATTTGCCCTGGCATGCTTATACTGGTCCAAGCAAGCACTAGGTCATAACCTGTTCCTCTTCCTTATTTAAAAGTGTTTTTATCTTTCTCAGCATTCCACAAGTTACTTCCTCCTTCCTTTGTTCTCCTCTACCTTTGCCTCTTTTAAAAAATTCTAAGTTGCTAGCCAAACCAGACAAATACAGAATGTGAGGTCCCGTTCCAGCCAATGGAAACCAGACACAGCAGTAGGGTGGATGCTTCAGGTTATAAATGACCCTGTCTCCTTTGTTCGGTGTACTCTTGTGGCAAAACTGCTGGCAAGTGTGCCCTTTCTGCAGGAAATAAAAATGGCCTTACTAAAAAAATTAAATTTATGTTCAAGTGCTATTTCTTTACAGTACCGGAGAACAAGCATTTCAGACAATTGAGAAGGGTGAGGACAGAGCTGTAAAGGAGCAGAGTTTTTGTATGTTGTTAAAGTTAAGCTGGTATAAATGCAAATTAGAGTGTTATAATTAGGATGTTAAATGTAATACCAAAGTAACCACAAAGAAAATAGTTATAGAGTATGCACAAAAGGTAATGAGAAAGGAATTTAAACATTTCACTAAAAAAATCACTAAACACAAAAGAAGACAGTGATATCGGAAATGAGGAACAAAAAAGCTATAACATATAGAAAACAGCAAAATGACAGATGTCCCTCCTTATCAGTAGTTACTTTAAATGTAAATTGATTAAACTCTCCAGTCAAAGAACAGAGGTTGCCAGAAAGGATTTTAAAAGTAAAACAGGATCCAACTGTATGCTGTCTACACAGAGATTCACTTTAGACCCCAAAACACAAAAAGATTGAAAGGATGGAAAAATATATTCCATAAAAATAGTAACCAAATGAGAGCAGAGGCAGCTTTACTAATATCAGACAAAATAGATTTTAAATTTTCAAAGATTATAAGAGACAAAGAAGGACATTATATATTAAACAAGGTTCAATACAGCAATAATATATAACAATTATGTTTACACACCTAATTACAGATCACAAAAATATGAAGTGAAAGTTGCCAGAACTGAAAGAGAAACAGACACTTCTGCAATAACAGTTGAAGACTTCAATATCCCATCCTCAATAATGATAAGAAAAACAAGACAGAAGTAAGCAAGTAGAGGAGTTAAACAACACAATAAACCAACTAGATCTAACACACACACCAAACACTTTACCCAGCAACAATAGCATACACATTTTTTCTCATTGCATATGGGACATTTTGCAGGATAAGTCCATGTGTTAGGCTGCAAATTAAGTTCAAATTTGGTATACAAATGCAATGGAATATTATTCAGCCTTACAAAAGAAGAAAATTCTGACATATGCTACAACATGGATGAACCTTGAGGACATTATGCTAAGGGAAATAAGCCAGTCACAAAAAGACAAATACTATGAGTTAATTTATATGAGGTACTTAGAATAGTCAGAGAGGCAGAAAGTGGAATGATGGTTGCCAGAGGCTGGGGGAGGAGTGATGAAGAGTTAATGTTTAATGGGTACAGAGTTTCAGTTTTACAAGATGACAAGTTATAGAGATGGACAGTGGTGATGGTTATACAACATTATGAATTTACGTAATACCACTGAACTGTACACTTAAAAATGGTTGAGATGATAAATTTTATGTTATGCGGATCTCACCACAGTAAAAAAAAAATTGGGAAAGAATGTTGGTCATTAGGAATTAACCTTATCAACTTCTTTTATATATCTACCCCAAACCTCTTTAGAGTTTTACCCAGGTATCCTCGTCTCCTTTTTTAGAGGATGGCATGGCATTTAGCTATCTCCTACTGAAAAGCAGACAGGTTTCAAGTTAATAAATCTAAAGTTTGCCACTCCGTTATGGTGGGGATTATATTATATAAGTTTATTTTTTATCTCTACATAATTATTGAGAATTAAACATAATAAACAATATCTCTTTTTTTCTAAATGTGAGTGGCTTGCTGTTACAAACGTGTCTCACATTAAGTGAAAATCGTTGCAACACGAAGATAATGGCTATACCCAAATGCAAGTTTGAGAGCAAGCCTGTTTAGATTTTTCAAATTACCTAAATAAAAACAGGGGTGTTTGTGATAAGACATTGGAATGAAGGATAAGAAAAATGGGAACAAACTGTAGTGAATCGAAATTGGAGAAACGGAATTGTTTTGTGTTTTTGCTCTTCTTGACTTCTAAATGCTTTGTGAGTGTAAAAATCAGAAACTAAATTTTGGCAACCTCTATATAAAAGCTAAGGATCCCTTCCAGATTCTGTACCCCCTCTCTAGGTTGAATTCTTTGTTTTTCAGCTGCCTTGTGTCCTTATGTAATATGACTTTGTACTTCACAGCATGAAGGAAAGTGTTATACAGCCATTGGAGGCAAATAGATCCCTATTTGCTTTCAGGGTCTACCATTCACTAGTTTTGTGACCTGAGATATACTTTGAAACGTCCGCATGTCTGTAAAATGAGAATAATAATCCCTATTATTATTTCAGAGGATTATATCTTACTATTACTGAGAAAATAGTAAGCTAATCATAGCTAACTTACAGTTTTTTACTTTTATTATTTAAAAGAAAGTACATTGCAAGTCAGTAAGAAAAAGGTGGAAATCCCCTTGGAGTGTGATAACCACTTCATAAAGTAATCATCAAAAACACAGAAATTGTAACCAAATTTGAGCATATTAAACCCATAACACTTTTTCCATCTATATAATTGATAATGACTATTTGCCTTTTTTAATATTAGGAGACCATATTTAACAGCCATCCTAAGGCCACTTAAAATTAAAGTAAATCGTTGTGCATGGCTTAGAGCACACTACTCAGGGCAGATTTGGAGCCATTCTAGTAGCAAAGGGGCTTGGAGACTTCGTTCTGATTTACGCAGTTCGTCAGATGTTTTTAAGCAGCTGATACTATAAATGACCACACAAGACAAAAAAAAAAAGATTATCAGAAGGCTTCTGCCTGAAAAGATGAATGCTAATAAAACACGATTGATGTCTTTAAAGCATTGAAGAGTATGCACTGAATAGTATATTCACTGAATTCAGGAATTTGAGTGGGGTAGGGGGGTCCTAAATGTTATTAGGAAGCCCTATTTTATACACTGAGTTATAAACACTGAAGTCATTACCTCACAATAGTTGATAAGAACTTGCACAACAGAAATGTAAATTTTATATTTATATCAGATGCAAACACAAAATGTGATGATAGCAAATACAACAGAAATTAAGGTGGGCTTTTGTAAGCTCATATAAATGTGTGCCACAGATTGAATATTTTTAAATCCATTACACATGGTTCATAGAATGGTTAAAGCATCACATTCTTTTTAGTTTAGAATGACACTTTCTATTGTCAAATTGTTGAGGATAACCAAGAATTAGCACCATGGTTGCAAACATTTTTCTGTTTGCCTTTCGGACCCTGGAATCAAGGACTCTGGTCTCCTATGTGGAGAAGCTTCACCTCAGTCCCGCTGCACTAGTAGTCTTCAGCGACAATATTTGGAGGATGACAGTTTGGATGATCATGTTAGTAACAATTCTAAGGAATGGAAATAGTCTATTCCATAATTAAACAGAAATCATAAACCACTATAAAAGTAAAGTCATAGAAAAAGAAAGTTGAAAATGTAAAGTCTCAAATGGTTTTATTTCATAATACATGAAAATCCTTGATTCATTTGTTCATATGCTGCTGTAGGTCAACTCCACTTACACATCCCAGTTTAGTTGAAAGGCCGCTTTAGACAGTGTCCACTTCATTATCAACCCAGGTTCGTGTTTCATGGGGCTGACCATGCTTGTAGGCTTCGGGCTGCGTTGGTCATGACTCACTTTACTCCCGGTAGGAAGTGATTTCTGGCCCATGTGTGTGTGTGTGTGTCATGTTTACTCAGAACACCTGAGCATGTGGTCTCTCCCTGACCCTCTCCCTCTCTATTCTCCTCAGGACTACTGGCTGTCTCTCCTCTACAAGCGCCTGATTGGCCCCAAAGTCTTGGCTGTGCATGTGGCTGGGCTCCAGCGGAAGCCACGGCCTGGCCGAGTGATCCGGGACAAACTGAGGATTTATGCTCACTGCACAAACCACCACAAGTAAGTCCTCAGAGAGATGGCACAGAAAGGCCACCCGAGGGGCTCCCACCCCGTTCCATTTGGGACCCCTTCAAGACTCATGTCCATTCACTAATCTTATCGAAAACTTTTTGCCGCTGGAATCACCATACCTGCTCTTTGCAGGTTTCAAATAATTTCTGGTAAATAGCTTTTACTCCAAGTAAACGCTCCCTTCTCATACTTAGAGGATTAATCATAAAAGGTTCATAAAATTCTTGCCATTTGTTCATTTACTTATTCATCCAACACATTTTTATTGGGCATTTTCTCTGTGCCAGTTGATGTAATGCCCATGAGGCTTTTTTGTGTGCCTAAGCTTCAGCCAAGTCAAGAGGTGTAAAATCTTTTCCTATGATCCACCAGCAAAGCTTAAGAAAATAAATCTCCCTTTTTAAGATGCATGCTGGAGAGATATGCCACTAGAAACCTAGCCCTAGACCAATGCATCTCAAGCTGGGTGTCCCCAGAACTAATGGAGTGCCCAGAGGTGGTCATGCCAGCTTTAGAGCCATTTCCAGTGTTTTGAAAATCTTTTCAGCTATTTTAAAAATTAAGAAGCTAAGTGAAATCTGGGCTTCCTTTTCTGAGGGCTCTGGACTTATAACAACTGAATGTGGTAGTGTGGGGTTATCCTTCTCTTTTTGATCTGAAGCACTGGTTGTCATTACAGTTGTCTTTAAAACAAACAGGAAAATTAATTATCAATAAATAAAGTTTGGCAGACAAAAAAATTTAACACGTTAAGACCATAAGGGAAAACTTTAAATTGGAGAGAGGGAGGTGCCTAAAGCAAAATCCATCTGGCCAAATATGACTTTCTTACATCACTTCCTGTTTAAGGCAGAGTAGGCTGCCCTGGAAAAGAGAATTATTTCTCTTTCTCTTAATGCAAAGAAAACCTGGTGGGGGGATAACGGGGCAGGGAATGGTAAGCAAGTACCTCCAGCCAGACCTTCATTCCAGCCCAGGCCTATCGGGAGCTGATCAAGGGGAGTAGCTAGTACAAAGAGCTTGGAGTGGTCAGGTTACAACAGATGCTCCTTCTCCTTCCTTGATGAGAGAGGAGCCAAGCCAATTAATTTATCATGATAAGACTTTTCAAAGAATCACTCTGAGCAGAGCAGGGACAGGGGCCAGTTGTCTTGTCAGTAGATACAAGTGCCTATTGTAAATGAGGGGAGGCTGGCTTGGGCAGAGGCCAGAGGCTTTCAACATGCCTTTTGCTCAACAGGAAGCTCAATCCAATACCTGACAGAGAGTGACTGCTTTATGGCCTTGGCCTGGAGTTATCTGATCATCACACAAGGAAACATTGTATTCCTTGTCTCTGCCCTGGCCCTGAGGTAACCACCCAAAAGGTGGACCCCCAGACTCAAGATAGAAAAATTACTCTTGGCACCTTATATCCCTGTTGGAAAGCATATCAGTCTGTGGCCTTTATACTACTAGTCTGAGGACTCGGGGAAAAAATTATCTGCAGCCATGGGCTTAGCAGGGTTTGCGTCTCTTCATAGAAGCCTCCTCACATAATCTCATTCGAGTGTTCATCCTCATTCTTTAACATTCTCATGGGAAGTTGTTATTAATATTCTGAGTGTACTGTGAACTTAGGGCCAGTGTCTCATTCATTTTGTATTCTTGGTGTCTAATGTAGTGACTGGCATGAAGATCCCAGGAAAGGTTTGCAAATGAATGAATGAATGCAGAAATTGGGCATCAAGATGTTACCGTTGATTTAGAGTTAGAGCTTTCTTCCCCTTTGATATTACCACATCAGCCAAAAGGAAATGGTATGATGGGGATTCTACCATTCCCTAGTATGAGACCTCAAACAAGTTACTGCAATCTTCTGCATTCAAGACTCTCTGTCTACACCACCAGCTCTCCTCTAATTTCTATGCAGTCACTTCAGAATCTCTCTAGAGAAACGGTGTCACTGTGCTTCTATCAGTGCAACCTCTCTCACTCCCTGTTAAAGAGACAGAAAGAAAAGACTTTCATAATCCATTCTACATATGACCCTAATGATAATAATTGGGTGAAGGTGTTTTTGTTCCTATTAGATTCCTAAAGAAAACCCACAGTGAATGCACGGAGCTAGCTGAGGTTTCAGGGCTCCTCTGTGTCAGTGTCCAGCTAGGGTAGCTCAAAGGTAGAAGAAGTATCTATTCACCTCTCTGAGAAATCATGTGCCATTAAGGAAGCACTGCTGAGTCATTTATCTGTGGCCAATAGGCCAAAATCACAGAATTATCCCAGAGTGGGCATGGTAGATTCACACTATTCAACCTTGACGAATACTCTGAAAATATTTGCCCCGCGTCAAAACAGGGATTGGAAGAGAAGGTATAAACTTCTGAGTAGAATCATCCAGAGAAAGCGTCTATTAAAACAACAACCCCTGCACTCCAGTGTGTATTGAATACTTGCTGTGTGACAAGCATCTTTCCAGATATTTGCACTTATTTTATTGAATTTCAGAGGTTCTACGGTATCACACCTACATGCAAATAGCAGCATTAATAATGCAAAGAATGCTACATTTGGAAAGAGCCCTTAGAAATCATACGGCCCAGTGCCTGTTCAACACAGGAATCCGTTTCACATCTCCCTGACAGTCATGCAACCCCTATGTGGACACTGCCTGTCACAGCAGCCCCTTGCATTGTGGGTCATTTCTGACCTTGTAGAGCGCTGTCTCTTATGATTGATTTAGGAGAAAAAGTTAGACCCTTATACCACCACCAGCAGGTGCTTTTCTGTTTTCTGTTCTGGAATTAACAAATTAGGACACTGATAGAATGGCAGTTCTCACCCTCGATCTTCTTGCTCAGAGAACAATCAAGTTTTGACAAGGAAGCCTCTTTTTATGAGCCATTCTGCTGAGACAATGTATGTTTCTGGGGTGGAGATGAGGTCCTTCGCCAAGTTCAGAACCAATTGGAACCTGGTGGATGTTGAAGCAAAATTAAGCCTTTTGGGGTTCAAGTTCGTTTATTATTGGCAAAACATGACTTCCTGTTTTTCAGAAGAAGTTTTTTTAAAGACTCATAAAAATGGTTCCTGAGGCTTCTTGGACATCAAATGGCTCTTACAAAACAATATTTTGATGAGTTAAGTGTAAATGAATCAGAAACATGTGGATTAAATTTCCCTTAAAATACACAGGGGCTTTGAAATTAAGGGAAAAAATGTTTGGCAAAACATGGCCTGGCTTTTACCGAACCCAAAACCTTTGAATTAGATTTGGAGACAATGGATCAACCCAGTTTCAAGCACATTGACTTTCAGTGGGAATGACCGTGGACTGCAAAGCATCATCCTCCCTTCCCTTTCCCAGCCTCCCAGCTTCACTGGAGACATTTCTAGAACATGACTGTTTTCTATCTGGAAGTCAAGATGCACCTCCCCATTTGACATTCCCCACCTCTTACATTAGGATATTCCAATTCCAGCCTCCCTTCCCTGACTCACTTCCCCCTCCTCCCATGGCAACACAGAGAAATGTCAGGCAGGAAAAGAACAGCCAGAAAAAATGAACTCCAGATACATGGATTCTCTGCTGGTAAAAAAAAAAAAAAAATCTTACCCATGAGTGAGACATGGGGCAAGATAGATGATCCTCTCAGACAACTTCTCTTCTGAAAGGAACATTCACTAAGATAACCAAAAGCCACCTGGACTTGACAACATCAGAAGGCCAGCAAATGCTTGCAGGCCAAGCCTTCAGACACCATTTTCTCCAAGATTATTTTTCTATGGTCAGAGAATATATGTTTCTCAGGAATTTGGATTCGCAACACACTACTTTCAGGTTGGTGCTGCACTCCCCAGCCAAGAATGCGTCTTTGCAGCAAAAAGGCCTCGCTTAATGTCCTTGCCCATAAGCCAAGCAGGGAGAGGGATGGCTGAGGCAGTCTTTAATGCCAACACCTACCTGAGAAGGTGCTGTGAGTTCTGAGAGCCTCTATATGTAGGTCTCTGGGCTGTACTGGTTTGTCTTCCCCAGGGGAACTATGTAAGTGGAAATCAGACCACTGCCAAACAGCTTGAAAAAGACAGCTTTCCCTGCAGCAGTGCTGTGATTTCAGGTCTCCCTCCCACCCACCACTTCCCCACATCCCACCTTCTCTTCTGCAGTCTCTAAGGGCTCATTCTGCCCTAGCTCTGCAGAGGAGAAACTCATAAATGCAAGCACGTGGCTCTCTCCTCCTCCATTGCTGGCCTTTGAGAGTGTTGTTTGATGGTAGCTAGCAAAAGAGTTTACTGCAGTCTGGCAAAATTGATACCCATCCACATGTATTTTGCTCCCACTCTGAAGCCTAGAGGTCCTGCAATTAATGGTGTCTTCCTCAGTTTTATAGATAGCTAAGCTAAGCTGAAACCCCACCAATGGGAAACAGTCGATGTTCTTCTTTAATGATGGTCAACATTGATTCAGGCTGCCAGCATCCTTCTTCAGAGTTCTGGGGACACAAGTATGCTTAAATCAACTGGCGTTCTCTTCTGACCTAACTCATTTAGCTACAAAAGCTAGTTCGCATGTTGCAGGGGATTAAGAAGGACTGGAGGAGGAGGAACCGGATGGAAGAGTCGTTTTAATAATTTATCACAACACAAATGCAGGCATCCAAAAGCCTTGAACACAATAACGTACCCTCCTGCAGATGCAAGAAAAATCCTCTGACACACAGCCAGCAGGATATACTTCGGTAGCTCTTCTCGTAATCTTAATGAATTGTTCTAAGCAAGTGGTTCCCAAACCCAATTCATCTGCCAAATATCCCAGAAAGATTTTTTTAAGTAGAGATTCCCAGTCCCTAATCCCAAATAGATTGAATCAAAATCTCCAGGGAAGAGCCCTGGAAACTGTGCTTCTAAACAAAAACAAAAACAAAAATAAAAGACTCCATGTCACCATACCGACCTGTCCTTGGTCACTCAACTCTTAATTAGCACCTTTAGAAGCAGAGGTGAGTGACCCAGGATGGAGGGGTGTTATTTCTACAAGGAATGATGCTTTCCTCTGGGCAAAGTTGACTTAGAGTTTCTCTGAACTCCTCCTTTGAAGGTGGGGCTGGGTCATTTTTTTGTTTCCTCTCATTAACTCATCCAGATGGGGCCCTAAGGGACCCCTTAGAAACAAAGTATTTTTTCCCACAGAGAGAAGGAAATCATTATAGTTTTCCTAATACATGCTGAAGGGCTTATGCGTGTAGGCATATAGTTCTCTCAGACTTCTGAACGTCTTATGCTCATTTAAAAGAATTCCAAAATGGTGAATAGTTTTATAATCTTGAGGTAGGTAAAACAGCAAAAGAAGAAATCAGAAAGATAAATTTGACTACATAAAAGTTTTTTAACTTTTATATATTAAAATACAAGGTAAATAAACTGAAATGGTCAAAGAAAACTGAGGGAAATTTTGCAGACAAAAGACTGCTCTTTAATAAATAAATTGTTTTTATAAATCAGCAGAAAAATAGGCAAAGGTGTCCGGGCACAGTGTCTAATGCCCGTAATCCCAGCATCTTGGGAGGCCGAGGCAGGCGATCACTTGAGGTCAGGAGTTCGAGACCAGCCTGGCCAACATGGTGAAACCCTGTCTCTACTAAAAATACAAAAATCAGCTGGGCATGGTGGCGCATGCCTGTAATCTCACCTACCAGGGAGGCTGAGGCAGAATTGCCTGAACCCGGGAGGCGGAGGTTGCAGTGAGCCAAGATCATACCACTGCACTCCAGCCTAGGTGACAGAGAAAAGAAAGAGAGAAAGAGAGAGAGAGAGAGAGAAGGAAGGAAGGAAGGAAGGAAGGAAGGAAGGAAGGAGTGAAGGAAGGAAGGAGGGAAGGAAGGAAGGAAGGAAGGAAGGAGAGAGACATGGTCAGCTTACAAAAGAAGAAATGAAATGGTAAATGAAAAAATGCTGCATGTCAGTATTAATTTTTAAAAATATAAATTAACACGACATTGAAATCCCATTTTCACCCCTCAGGTTGACAAAGGTATTTTAAAAGAGCACGTTGGAAGTGTTTTTAGGGGTATGAGTAAATAGGTGCTCTCATACAGAGTAGGTGGGAGCAAAATTAGTGAAAGCTTTCTAGAAAGTTAATATCAATGTCATCAAAATGTGTGCATCTGTCAGGATAGGTTAGATTATGCTGCAATAATGAATAACCCCAAATCTCCATGGCTTTCAATAAGAAAATGTATTTCTCATTCACCCTACTTGTCCGTCATGGCTCGACGGTACCTCTGCCCACATCATTTTCATTCAGCCTTTGTCAAGAACATTGTCAGTCTTCTGGCAGAGGGAAATGAAACATGGCAAAAGATGGACTGAGTCCTAAAGCTGCTGCCTAGAGGTTTTACCATGTCCACTCACATTTCATTGGACAAAGCAAATCACGTGATCACTCAGTAGGGCAGGAAGAAAAAATCTTCCCACAGGGAGGTGCACCACTGGGAATGAACTGGAAAATTTGGTGAGGAATTGTACAACACACATGTCCCTTGGACTAATGATTCCAGCATCTAGGACTTTATCCCTCAGAAATAATCAAAAAGTTTATACACATGACATAATTTATAATTGCAAAAATGTTCAAACATGAGTTGTTTGAACTGCAAATGTAGGGGATTAGTTAAATAAATTATGTTACACTTCTATGATTGAAAAGTTTAGGATTCTTCTACAAGTAGAAAAAGAATCACATGGGAATATGTTTAAGATGTTCATTAATGGAAAAAAACTCTGTGAATAATGTGATTCCAGTTTTGTAAAAACTGAGTAATAATGTGTCAAAGTACTCAATAAATATTTGTCAAATTAATAAATTAAAAAATACTGGAAGGATGTTTGCCAAAATATTATCATATCTCAAGATATGAGGGTTATGGGGAATTTTCTTTTTCTTCTTTGTGTTTCTCAATATTTTTCCTTTTTTGCAATCAGCATGTTTTATTTCCATACTATGGTAATATATGCCATAAAATATATACATTATATTTTCTAAAATCATTGCAATAAATTTAAACAAAAACAAAAGAAGTATGGCGGGAAGTGGCTATCATCTTTGCAAGAAACCACAATGACGAGGCCTTCCTGTCTTTTAGGGTCTATGGTGGCCAAGTTTTTAAGTGCCATTTTCTGGGCTGTTCATATTTTGTAGTCTGTAAATTATTTAGGAGCATCTAACTTACCACTCTGTTTCCATCTTTCACTTCTCTCTTTCTCTGGATCTCAGCCACAACTATGTTCGTGGGTCCATTACACTTTTTATCATCAACTTGCATCGATCAAGAAAGAAAATCAAGCTGGCTGGGACTCTCAGAGACAAGCTCGTTCACCAGTACCTGCTGCAGCCCTATGGGCAGGAGGGCCTAAAGTCCAAGTACGTGCCAACCTGAAAATAGCTCGGGAGTAAGTGCAGCAGGAGCTGAGGGAGGGGGGAGCTGAAGACACCAAGATTGCTACTAATTCTTTCAAGGGCTCAGTGGGATGGAGTAGGACAAAGAGTGGTCTGGGGTCAGGTGACTGCTGACTCCTTTTGGAAACCTGCTCAAGCCCCTCCCTATCTTAGATCCCTCAATTGTAAAGTCAAATGGTGGAGAAAGTATTTCTCAACAAGGGTGCTCTTGGTATTTGAGCGAGATAACTCTTCTTTATACACGACTATCACATTGTAAGTTGTTTAGCATCCTTGGCTGCTGCTCACCAAATGCCAATAGTGCCCCATGGTCATGTAGAAACCAAACATCCTGGTAGTTGAAAACCATGTCCCTCACAGCTGTAACATTCTGTAATGCTATGACTCCCTTGTTGTTACCATCTATTAACCTCACAGGGCTTACAGGAAGGAGCACTAAACAGAGAGTTTAGTGCTCGAAAGTTCAGAGGTAAAGAGTCTGTCCTACCCCAAACTTTATAACTCGAACACACCACTGCTCCATCTCAGCTTCTTCATCTGAATAATAGGACAAAGATTTTAGTCTGAGGGCTCTGTGGCCCCTTCTAAACTCTACAAATGTATGATTCTGTGACACTCCCTGCCTCCGTCAGTCTCTATTAGAGACTATTGACACATGGATCTCTACGAACAGAAAAACTCTAGGACAGTGAGCAGGGCCTGGTCAAGGGCAAGGCCACCCCAGCTCCCCCAGTAAGGCCTCTCAGGAAGGGTATGGGATGCTGCACAGACTGGAAGCATTCCTATTCCATTTTTAATGTTTACCAAGTTTAACAAAGCTGTAAACTTGGAGCAGGTGGCTTGCACTCCAACAGCTGCCCACAAATATTTGTGCTATAATTATTCACTGTTTCACTGCAACCTTGGTGGCTTGCATTTGGCTTCCAATTGTATTTTCAATGGGAGCAAAAAACAATCTGGGAAGTCACTTATTGAGTCTCTTTAGCCCACCCTAGATCTTCATTTTCAGTCTCGGTTCACATGCTGGCTCTTTTTTCTGGCTACATGTACATTGCGTCTGCTTTTCTTTCTTCCCAGTCCTACCTATGTCAGCAGGACTCTATTGAGTATTTTACCCCCTTTCTCTCCACTTCTGAGTAGTTCATGATGAGTGTGCTGAATTCCTGGCCTTCATCCTAGGCAGGAGACCTGCTTCTGGTCCCAGCTTTGCCAGTAAATAATCATATGACCTGGGAAAATGATTTTATCCTAATCCTTTGGCCTCAGTTTCCTAATATTCAGATTTCAAGGGTTGTTGTATATTTGGTAAGGTCCTGTGCAGCTTGAAAACTCTCATCCTGGGTGTGATTTTCTGAGGACCATGAGTGCATTAAATCTCCTGCTGCCATTAAATAATGATCTGCAAAGCCATTTCTGACAGAAGGGCTGACTCTGCAGCAATGATTAGGGTCCTCTCATTAGGGTCCTCTGGAACTGAAGAGCTTAGGAGCTGAGCCTGCCCAGTGTCAGGAAGACTGTGTGCACTGTGTGGAGGGGACTAGCCAAATGCTATAGTCTAACAAGCCAAGGTGTCCATCCCTGCTCTGTTACTTGCTGGATGTGTGTCTTTAGGCAAGTTATGTCATCTCTGTGAGCATCAGTTTCCTCATCTGTGAAACCTCTTTTGTGGAGCAAAGTAAATGAGGTAATCTGTGTAAAGTTCCTGACACATAGTAAATGCTCAATAAATGTCCATTACCTTCCTTTTCCTCAACTCAGAAATCTAGCTGGTTGAGAAAGAGGAAGGATACAATTGCTTTCCCTAAGAATGTTCTTCCAAAGAGGAATGTTTTCAGACTTTTAAGATAATGTGTTAACAAGACATGTGTTAGGATTATGATAAAAAATCATGCTAAGAATTACAAAAAGGCAAAAAGGATGAAACAGAAGATGATAGTCAAGGGTAGCACTTTTTTATGAGCTTGTTTTCCCTCCAACCAAGGATGCAGGCAGGCCTCTAAACCTATTTACCCCTCCCCTATGTCCCTGCCTCCAAGATGATTCCTCTGCTGTTTGGAGCTGGCCACACCTTAACCCCTGTCTTTCTATACCTATCCTTAAGAGTGACTGAAGGGACTGACTCCCACTGGCCAGCGATATGCCGTATGTTCAACTTTTGCCATCACCACACTAGTGAGGAGTTGTGTTACAACTTTGTTAAGAATGTAGGAGACCAGCCAGGCACAGTGGCTCACACCTGTAATCCTAACACTTTGGGAGGCTGAGGTGGGGGATTACTTGAGGTCAGGAGTTTGAGACGAGCCTGACCAACATGGTGAAACCCTTTCTGTACAAAAAAAAATACAAAAATTAGCCAGGTATGGTGGTGAGCACCTGTAATCCCAGCTACTTGGGAGCCCAAGGCAGGAGAATTGCTTGAACCTGGGAGGCAGAGGTTGCAGTGAGCTGAGATCACACCATTGCACTCTAGCCTGGGCAACAGAGCAAGACTCTTGTCTCAAAAAAAAAAAAAATGTAGGAGAGGGACAAGGACAAAGAGAATTTCATTCTACAGGGATCCTTAAGAAAGATTTGGTAATGCCCACTGAGCTCAAATAATAATGTGAGGTAATTGGAAGAACATTGGAACTGGAATTAGAAGGTAAGGGTCTGAATTCAGATGCTACCATTTATCTTTGTGATCAAACCTGAGCTTCCTTAACTGTCAAATGGGATTATTGTGAGACTCAATTTGGAAAATATGGTTGAAATAAAGCCTTCCACAAATCCATGCGTATGCATACATCTGTAAATATAAATACAGATACACACATAACGATTTTACATATGTTGGATTAGAGAGTTTTGGATTGGAATTCAAGGGAACTGGATTCCAGCCCCGATCCTGCCACTAATTCACTGTGAAATGTTGGGGCCTTCATTCTTCTGAGTCTGTTCTGCCTATAAATTACTGCCAATTTAACACCTCTCCTGTTCTGGACCTCATTGGCTCGACCCTGGGCTGTGCCATGGTGGACTGTAAGCTGCCAGACAGGGACTGTCATGCAAATGTTCAAGACCACATCTAGTGCTCTGCTTAGCAGCTACTAAAGAGCTGAGAGGTCTGGGATGGGGGTCTCACAGGAAGGGTGTGGTTTCAGTGAAGCAGACGGTGCAGAAAGGGATGAAAGGAAATGCTAGGAAGTGATTTCAGCCTTTGGTGTCTCTTTCTCTCTTTTATAAGCCTCTGGGGCCAGACTCTGTGTTCTATGTCTGCTAGTTCTTGCTACAGCTTGAAGTCGTATTAGCTCAGAAGGGGCTAGAAAGTTCTGGGAGCAGAGGAATGTGTAATTGCTCCTGTCTGGAGGAACCAGGAAGAGGATATAGAGGAAGTCAGTGCCCTCCACCCCAATTCAAGCCACCAGTTGGGTGTTCTGGTCTCGTGTTTCAGGATAGGGAAAGGCCAGGAGACTTCTTTGATTGCTCGAGGACTTGGGGTAATTCTCATTCTCTTAGAATTGCCACTGGGCCTGGGAAGATTTAAAATCTCTGAAAGGGCCTCTCTATGTGAACTCAGAGCTAAGGTATGTCAAGTATCACACAGGAAGCACCCTTGGAGTCACTATTTAGGTATGGTCTAGGCAGCCACATTCACAAGAAGGTTCTTGTTTCCCATCTCAGTGAATGAACCAATTGTAAGACCCCCTACTCCAGTCCCAACTCCTTATATAAGAGACTGTTCTTATTCTAGGAACCAGACAAAAAGTGGGTGCTCTTTAGCCCATAGGACAGAAGTTTTAGAAAATTGCAGTGTATACAAATAAGAGTATTCTGCATCTGGAATACACATTCTTCAGGGAATAGCTGAAGGAAATGGGGAAATTTAGTTCAGAGGAGAAAAGTAAGGTAAGTCATGAGGACTTTCTTCAGAGGACTGCCAAGTGAAATTAAACAGTTTTGGCCTAGAACACTCCAAAATGACAGAAAACCAAGGAGTGCAATTTAAAAGAGATAGATTTCACTTCAAAATGAGCTCGTTTTCCAAAGGCTTGCCTGGTCTGACCGAGGTCAGGATAGGCTTTCTCAGGAGGTAGCATATTAATCAGAGTGTGAGCAGCCATCTCAGAGGTGCTCTAGGATTCCTTCCTCAGTTGGGGGTTGGACAAGGGATTATAGCTTCCCTTTGAGCTCTGAAATTCTATTCTCTTCTGGTCCCCATTCCCCCTGCTTCCTCTTCACTTTTGGAGCCTGTGTTCTCAGTGGTCACCGGCAAAGTCAAGCCACTAAAAGGCCACACAAAGAGGCTCTATGACTAGAGGAAGTGGTGGCAGTATCTGGCTAGTTTTCTTTTCCAGAAAAAATCCAGCTGTGGGTCCCTCCCTCGTCATGTTCCCTGGTTTCTCATCTTTCTCGGAAGAAGATGGCCCCATTCACATCCAGAACAATAGTTCCCATTCTGGATAAGTCAGAGGAGACTTTGAGGGCATCTGCAAAACACAGAATCTACTCATTGCCTTGTGTGATCACAAAGCAATAACCACTGTCCTCTAGGGCAGCGGTCCCCAACCTTTTTAGCACCAGGGAGTGGTTTCACGGAAGACAGTTTTTCCACAGACTGTGGGGGTTGGGGGTGATTTGGGGATGAAACTGCTGCACCTCAGATCATTAGGCATTAGATTCTCATAAGGAGTGTGCAACCTTGATCCCTTGCATGTGCAGTTCACAATATGGTTTGCACTCCTATGAGAATCTAGTGATGCTGCTGATCTGACAGGAGTGGAGCTCAGGTGGTAATACTCACCCACCACTCACCTTCTGCTGTGCAGCCCAGTTCCTAACAGGATTGGTCCATGGCCCAGGGGTTAGGAAGCCTTGCTGTAGGGAATCATTTGCACCTGATAAGTATCTCCAGTGTCTCTCAACAAACAGAGAAGCAACATGAAGTTTGGCCTCACAAGCCAGCTGACATCTAAAATGAAAAGGAC